CTCCCCCCATCTGAATTCTTCTCCCCGTGCCTCTTTGCCTCCATCTCACACTCTCTCTGTCTCTGCAGCTACCCGTTTGCCAGCCTCCGCCTCCCCCCTTCTTTCTGCGGCAGGGCGCCACTTCCCCTTCTGGAGCCCGAGCACCCGTCTGCCGAGCTGGCGGCTTCTTCGGGCCACCTGCTCTTTGCTTCGGCCTGTACTTTTCCTTCCCCGCCTGCTTCCTTCCTCCCAGGGAATCTGGAAGACAGGGGTTGCCAAAGGCGGTCAGCGGTTCCCTTCCTTCCTTCCTTTCTTTTTCTCTCGGCTGCTGCCACGCCCAGCTCTCCTGCCTCCTCTTCCCCAATCGGTTCTGGAGCTGAGTTTGCCCTGGACCGCTTTTCTCGCGAGGCTGGGAGAGCTTCCTCTTCGGCCGGTCCTTGTGAGAAAGTCTTTGCTTTTTAACAGGGCTGTGGAGTCGGTAGATAAATGTTCCGACTCCGACTCCTCAGTTTTTTGTACTTCCGACTCCCCGACTCCGACTCCTCTGCATTAATATGCGAATGTATTTTATACGTTCCTTGAAGGAAAGAAAGGCAACATACATGTCATTACCACAGGACTACTGGCTGGGAAGCCAACAGTCTACTGTTATTGAACAGTTTAAGCAAAAGACAAACACAATGAAAACAACCAAGTTTTATTAATTATATGGAAAGTATAAGTATTGCCGCTCCTAATTGTGCGTTGCGTGCCATATAGTGAAGCACGTGAAAAGCATGCTTCTTCACGGTCACTTAACGTGTTCGTTTTGCGGTTACGTGAGGCACTGCATGCATTGGTCTTTATTCTTACAGTAGAGAAGTCATTAATTATAACTTTTTGTGAATTGGGACATTTACACTTGCTTTTTTTTTTTAATTCCAATCTAAATTTAGTAGGAGTCGGTGCATTGTTTGCCGACTCCGACTCCAGGTACCCAAAATTGACTCCGACTCCACAGCCCTGCTTTTTAATGAAAGAGGTTGAGACTTTTGATGGAGCCGGCTGGAGGAAGCCCCCCCTTTCATCCTGCTGGGTTTCCTGAACAGACTCTTCAAACTTTCCCTGCCCTCACGAAGATTGTACGGATGGGGAGCTGCCTTGACATGCAAGTGCCTAAAGACACACAAGCCACGTTCTGTGGCCTGGTTGCCCTCATTTCGATTGGCTGGGCTCCTATCCCGAAGAACAAATAGCCCGATCCCTCTTTTAAGCCCAGCCTAACACCTAGTGCGAACTCAGCCGCTGCTATCCCGAAATGGGTATTCTACAGAGAGACTTGTGAGATCTCGGTTGATCAGTTCCCTTTTCACAGCTAGCAATGCTCGGCGCCGTTGTTACCGCCAGGCCGAGGTTTGCCCAAACGGTCCTCGGTGGAAAGGAGGTGGCAGAGTGGGGGTGGTGCAGCCTTTTGTGGCAATCCAACCCTTGTCTTGGTATTGCAATCTGAAGGGACCTTGGGGGTCTTCTAGTCCAACCCCCCAGTGATGGAGCACCCACCACTTCTGGTGGCAAGCTGTTCCACTGGTTAATTGTCCTCACACTGTCAGGAAGTTTCTCCTTAATTCCAGGTTGCTTCTCTCCTTGGTTAATTTTCCATCCGTTGTTTCTTGTCCTGCCTTCAGGCGCTTTGGAGAACGGGTTGACCCCCCTCTCTGTGGCAGCCCCTCAAATATTGGAATATTCCGTGAAATAGGGTAGAGCCTTTGAAGAGCATCCCAAGCTGTCAGTTGTGGTTTGTAGTCTAGCGTATTACGGGAATCTTCTGATCAATGGCTTGTTCAATAAACCTGGTTTAGCAAACCACGACTTAAAAACCTAGCCCGTGCCTGCAATCTCCCACTGCTTTTTTTTGCCTGTAGTAATCTTGTACAGGTCATCCACTTGTGATCACAACTGAGGCTAGAATTTCCATGGTTAACGTCTGATTTTACAACCTTTTTTAAAAACAAAAAACAAAACCCGTGGCCGTTATGCTGCGACCGTCATAAATGCATGTCGGTTGCCGAGGGCCTGTGTTTTAATCCAATGACTGTGGTGTGTGTGTGTGTGTGCTGCGGGAGTCATAAGTATGAAAACGGGTCCGAAGTGGCATTTCCCCCCCATGCCATTGTTAACTTTAAACGGTCGCTAAATGAGTGTAAGTTGACTACCTGCCTGGGGAATTCTGGGAGTTGAAGTTCCACCCATCATTGCCCTGCTCTGACTGCGTATTGTGGCAGCCTCGCGGGGGCCGGCGCTGAGCGTGTCTCCCCTGAGCGTGTCTTCTTTCCTCCTCCCCCCCCCTCTGCACAGGCCTCTGGGGTCACCGTCTGTGACAAAGTCATCCAGGTCTTCAATGACATGAAGGTGCGCAAACACGCCCCCCAGGAGGAGCAGAAGAAGCGCAAGAAGGCCGTCATCTTCTGCCTGAGCGAGGACAAGAAGAAGATCATCCTGGAGGCCGGGAAGGAGATCCTGGTGGGCGACCTGGGAGACACCGTCGACGACCCCTACCTGCACTTCGTCGCCATGCTGCCCCCCAGCGACTGCCGCTACGCCCTCTACGACGCCACCTACGAAACCAAGGAGAGCAAAAAGGAAGACCTGGTCTTCCTCTTCTGGTGAGGCCCCCTTCCTCTTCTCTCCCTCCCTCTTATTCCTCCCTTGCTCTCTTCTCTTTCCCTTACTCTGTTTTTCCTCCCTCTTTGTCCTTCCCTCCTTGATCTCTTCCTCCCTCCCTCCCTCTTCTTTCTTTCCTTGCTCTCTTTCTCCTTCCTTCTCTTTTCCTTCCTTACTCTTTTTCCTCCCTCTTTCTCCTTCCTTCCTTGCTCTCTTTCTCCCTCCCACCCTCTCCTTCTTTCCTTGCTCTTTCTCCTTCCTTCTCCTCTCTTCTTCCTCCCTCTTTCTCCTCTCTTCTCCTTTCTTCCTTCCTTGCTCTCTTTCACCTCCCTCCTTCCTTCTTTCCTTGCTCTTTCTCCTTCCTTCTCTTTGTCCTTCTCCTCTCTTCTTCCTCTTCCCCTCACTTTCTCCTCCCCATTCCTCCCTTCCTTGCTCTCTTTGTCCTTCCTTCCCTTCCTCCCTCCCTCCCTGGCAGCTTCAGGTGTGGCCAACCTCCCCTTCCCCCCCCCCCCCCCCCCCCCCCCCCCCCCCCCCCCCCCCCCCCCCCCCCCCCCCCCCCAGACCCTTGTCTCGGTGACTGAAGGCTGAATACTCTGAGCAGAGAAGCTGCTTTCTTCCCTATTTCGGGAGCTTTCCCGGTGGCAATTCAACCAAGGCTGCTTTCAGGGGCCTGAGCTGGCTGGAGTGCCCCCTTGCTGGGGGGGCGAGACTGGCGTCTTACCCCCAGCCTCTTATCTGAATTGGTGGCTTCCTCTTTCTGCAATCAAAGCTGCTTGGCCGCGTGCCATCCAGGAAGTTACTTTCCTCCCATCTGCATGCGAGCTGGGATGCGGACCACGACTGCCCCCCCCTCTGCTATTGGCACCAAGAGCTGCCCTCCCCATCTTTAAAATTAAAGCCCTCTAGGAAGGCGGTCCCTTTATCCTGCCCTGCTCGCCTCTCCCTTCCAGCCTTCCCGTAACTGGGGAATAGACTTCTAGACGGCAGCTTCACTCCCAGTGTGTTACGCCAGGGCGCGAAAACAATAATTAACTTGGGTGATCTGTATAATTGAGGACTTGGAGACGGGGGTGTCTGCGGGCTGGCCTCGCTCTCAGCTCCCCGTCCATTGGAGCCTGGGCGAAAAGAGTGCGCAGGGGAGAGTCTAAACAACATCCTGCTGTTCTGCTGCAAAAGACCACCTTCCTTTAAGTCAGGGGTCTTCAAACTTGGCCCCTTTGATGAGGGGCCAAGTTTGAAGACCCCTGACTTAGAGGAATTCTGGGAGTTGAAGTCCACAAGTCATCAAAGGGGCCAAGTTTGAAGACCCCTGCTCTAAGTGCTTCCATTTTAAAGATGCATCGCTTCTTGACTGCAGGCACAAGGCCTAGCCTGAAAGTGGCAAAGCTGCTCGGGTCCCTGTGTTAAATCTCTCAAACAGCAAGGCTCATGGGGGGGGGATGTTGTATAGGGTCTTGGGGAATGTTCTTCCTCCTGAGAAGGCCCCCATTTAAGCCAGGATGGCGCAGTGGTTAGAATGCAGCATTGCAGGCTAACTCTGCCCGGAACAGCAATTAGATTCTGGCTGGCTTGAGGTTGACTCGTCCTTCCGTCCTCCCGAGATCGGCAAAATGAGGACCCAGATTGTTGGGGGCAATAGGCTGACTCTTAAACCGCTTAGAGAGGGCTGTAAAGCACTAGAGAGGGCTGTAAAGCACCGGGAGGTGGTAGATAAGTCTAAAGGCTATTGCTCTTCCATCACTGGTGGCGCAGTGGTTAGAAGGCAGTGTCGCAGGCGAATTCTGCCCACCGCCAACAGTTCGATCCTGACCGGCTCAAGTTGACTCAGCCATTCGTCCTTCCGAGGTCGGCAAAACGAGGACCCAATTGTTGGGGGCAAAAGGCTGACTCGGTCAACCGCTTAGAGGGGGGCTGTAAAACACTATGAAGCTGCTGTTGCTACTGGGGGGGAGGATTAAGCGCTTAGAGGGGGGCTGTAAAACACTATAAGTGCTGTTGCTACTGGGGGGGATTTATTGATGAATGACATCCTCCACATTGGCCGTTTTTAAAAATCCTGCTTCTTCCACGGCATGAGAGAGTCGCCTCGTAGGGAGACACGGGGAGCATAAATGTTTAATAAATGAAAATAAATGGCGAGCTGGCAGGGGAGTGGTGGCGGGGAGGAGGCTAGGAACACAACCCTGGTGTGTGAATGCTGCTGTCTCGTCCCTGCAGGGCACCGGAGAGCGCTCCTTTGAAGAGCAAGATGATCTACGCCAGCTCCAAGGATGCCCTCAAGAAGAAATTTCCAGGTGAGAGCCGGCAGGTGTGTGCGAGCACCTCCGAAGGGGGAGGCAGGGCGGGCGCCAGCAGGCTTCTGGGAGTTGAAGTCCACAAGTCATAAAAGGGGCGCCCTTTGAGGTGACGGGGGACCCCGCTGAACCTGGGGTCCCCAACCGTGGCGACTTTTAAGACTTGTGGACTTCCGAGCTGGCTGAGGAATTCTGGGAGTTGAAGTCCACAAGTCTTCAAATGGCCAAGGTTGTGCTGAACGACCTCAAATTGTGCTTCACCTCAAGTTGTTCTTTTCTTGCACCTGTCATTGGAGGCTTATATAAAAATGGCGCAGCGTGAGAAAGTTCTCTGCTTCTCCCCATTGGCTGGAGGGAGGCCCAACTTTTGTGGTTAGGAACAAGAAGCATGTTGAATGAAATACAGGCAATCCTCGACTTAACCACAGTTTATTTAGTGACTGTTCAAAGCAGGAGTCTTCAAACTGGGCCCTTTTAGGACTTGTGGACTACAACTCCCAGAATTCCTCAGCCAGGCACGGATGTGCCTGGCTGAGGAATTCTGGGAGTTGAAGTCCACAAGTCCTAAAAGGGCCCAGGTTGAAGACCCTCTGCTTCAAAGTGACAGCGGCACCGGAAAACAGTGACCCATGACCTTTTTTCACACTTTACGGCCGTTGCAGCCGCCCCACGGTCATGGGATCACTTGGCAACTGACTCCTATTTATGACGGTCACGGTGTCTCCCGGGGTCGTGCGATCCCCTTTTGCGGCCTTCCGACAAGTGGGGAAACCAGATTCACTTAACAACCGTCTTACTGACTTAACAAATGCAAACGGCTCACTTGACAACCCTTTGGCTCTCCCTTCCCAGCCCTGACTGACTTGTGTGGCTAGTCCTCAACGTACAACCACAATTGAGCCCCACATTGT